TCCCATTGTGTTTAGGATGTTGAGCTTTTAATTGGCTGAATTGGTTTGTAAGAGTAGCACACGGCTGATTTCCTCTGCTATTCCTCCTTGTTCTGTCCCACTCATCCGCACCGTCCCAGCTCGCCTGGTTAACACAAAGTCACCGCCTCTCATTACCAAGCAAAAGAAGTTATACAACTCCCCTCAGTCCGCAATCACGTTTAGTCCTAAATTAAAGTGAAAAAAGTTAAAGTGTCGTGACATGTGGCCAAGTATGGTTACCCATACTCGGAATTAGTGCTCTGCATTTAACCCATCCAAAGTGCACACACACAGCAGTGAACACACAAACACCGTGAACACACACCCGGAGCAGTGGGCAGCCATTTTTTGCTGCGGCGCCCGGGGAGCAGTTGGGGGTTCGTAACGATTTTCGTAACGATTTTCTACTGATGCAGAACACTGTATTGAGCAAGTCTGATAGTGTTTTCTGCACTGCTGTTCTTTGAATCTACAGCACGACCGCTTTAGTCCGATTCCTGAACGCATGACTCTTAACCGGTTCTTTTTAGTCATTCAGAATCATACAGCAAGACCAGTGTGGTTCGGTTGTATAAAGAATGACTCTTATGAGCCGGTTCTTTTTAGTGAATCAAAAACATACAGATATAGCCCGAATACCGAACGAATGACTCTTATGAGTCGGTTCTTTTTAGTGAATCAAATACATGTAGACTGAACAATGTAATCCGAGCCTGAACTAATGACTCTTATGAAACGGTTCTTTTAGCGATTCAAATATACGTTTGTACCAGTCGGAGCTGTTACTGAACTAATCTGACGCTTGACTGAACCGCAAAAATGACTTTTGTCATATTCGAGTCGAAATGAACCAAGAACTGTCCCTGTGTTATGTTGTACTTAAGGCTCGTGAGACTTAAACTGACTGAATGCCATGAGATGAGCACTTTAATGGACACATTATAAGTCAGTAGGCCTATTTTATGAAAATAAATGAATGCTTAATGAAATGGGTCACCACATTTTTGTTTAACACTTTCACTTATATGAATAGGACCAATTATTAGACTGCATTTAAGCCGCCTCTCAAAAGTCTACAAGTTGTCAAGTCAATCTAAACACATCTTTTGGAAGAATTTTGAATTAATTTTATTTCTTAGGCTATTTGTAATATCGGTGCTGATGAAATCTGTAATTATCTCATGATTTGCCAATAGATTGTTGAGGGCAGTAAATGCAACGTGAATCGCAGTTTCTCCCGAAATATTTCTTCCTCAAGAGTACTAAAAGTATCATTAATGGAACCGTTACGGAACCGAACCCATTACGCGCAATCGAATTCGCAACCAAAATCGTTAAATTCTCCTTCCTACAGGCCTGGGACATGGGTATCTTTTTTGTCTTTGCTCGCTCACTCAGATCTTTCATTATGTCCCGTTCGCATAGTGATACGATGCTCTTTGTGCGCCTCACCGTTCGCAGATACTGATGGGGAAATTTCAGGCGAGACTTGGCAAACAGCGGGCGCAAAGTACCAATTTGATTTCACATCACAGCTGCGCGAGCTGGAGATGCTGACATTTCACCCTCTTATCAGTTTAATTACTGTTGCCATGGCAGCGTAGTGCACGGAAAAGGCCAATAAGATTTGCAGCTTGCAAAACGGCAAAATTAAGCCGTTAATGTGTTAGAAACGGTGATACGCGACGGCACATCATATTAAACGTTATTCACAATTGTCTAAACAAACCACGACAATTCAGACGGGGGAAATTAGGAAAACGCGTCGCTTCGGTAAAATGAGGCTGTATGAGGTTCGACAAAACTGCCGCTATACGCATAGAAACATCCCAACTACTCAGCCACACATTTAAACACATCACACTCGCGTTGATAGGATGCAAAACGCAGCTCTTACCGAAACTTTTCTCCTTTTTCTGCATTGGTTGACCCGCGTCGGCTCCCAGAAACACCATGCAACAAGACGAGGCGCGAGCCAACGATGCGCGTGAAGTGAGCAGCTGTACGCGCGCGAGGGTGCTTCGCTTTTGTTACAAGTAACAATCCGCCAGAAAAGAGTGAACACGACGAAAACACCAATCAACAAAACACGGGAGGGAGAAAGAAGGAAAGAGCGAGCCGCTATCGCTCAGCGCCACACGCTGTTAAGACTCCGTTTGTCACAACAGTGCTCGACTATGAAATTAGATCGACCAGCAGCCGTGGCGAGGCAAGTGGCGGCAAACAAATGACAGCGGATGGCAAAGGCATGCTTTACCCCTTCGCTCGCGCCGTAATCTTATAATCCTATCGTGCCTCTTGCTATTCGCCTATTTCAGTGCGCGTACAGTAAGAGGCACCAAATTGGATGTATACAAAAGACAACATACAGGAACTCGCATATACTAAAACGCAATCATATTTTGTCAAGCATTTACGAACTACTTTAGTTCTGATGCATGGCGTATTTTTAGAATATAAACACGAATGCTATGTTACCAACTCTTTCAAGCTTAAAAACTGCACTTCATTCCCGGAATTAAGCCTTGTTTTTAAATCCACAAACTTTAACGTAAATAAAGTGTGTTTATTATCATTCTCATGCATAGTACTATACATGCACATCCACATATATATGTTGCTGTCTTACTGTGATAATACTGTCTAGCTATTGTTTGTAATTTATTTGCACATAGCTTGAATGTTCGTTATGCGTTGCAATGTAGTTTCCTGAAGAAACAGCATTCCGTTTTTGTCCATTGCTCTGCTTTGTGCAAAAATTTACAGCACACCTGACTCCGCAGGATCATTTTATCTCAAATAATTTGAATCACATGCATAAATGATCCGATCCATTTACGTGAGGCACACAAGCCTGAATTTTGTATTTGACATCAAAGACTAAAAAGCAAACTCGGTTGATTACACAATTAGTCCAAAAGAACTGGAGCAAGTCCGTTCGGAAAAGACAATTAAAGCACAACTCACTCACCTTCTTGACCAAGTTATGCAGAAGGTTAACTTAGGATAGTGCACCGACTCCAACTCAATATTCCTCGGAGCAAAAGTTCACGAATCTGACATTGCACCGCGGATAAAAGTGATCTTCAGTTTGAGAATAATGAGGTCCACATGGATCATCTACGAGTAGTAGTTCGCACCAAAAGCTACAGGTGTTCTCGCGCGAGCCGTCATATATTGAGTATTCTGAGAAAGCTCACAACAACTTGCCCATCAGTGAGTGAGGAACGAGGAATAGTGAAGCCTAGCTTTATTATCTTCAAACCCAATCCCTCACCAGTGAGACATTACACGAGGAGGAAAAGGTCATTCGGTTATTATCGACAGCCGGAGTAACGGAGCGCGCGCTCGCTAACACAAACTTAATGCTCACCTCTCTGAGCAAACATGCTATGAGCTCTGTACTACACGTTTACACTCGCTCTCTCTCTCTCTTTGTTTTAGCAACTAGGCAACAACTTCGTGGTGATACATAGTGTTTTATAGCAGAACCGGTCTGATTCATAAAACATACAGTTATTTATGCATACATATGTCTGTCATTTTAACAACAGGTGTTTGTGCACGTGCATCTGTTTGAATCGTAATTATATTAGTACTTCTGAATGCAGGCAAATCCACTCTGAAAGATACAGATTCCAATTAGAACAATCCTGGTGCCTTATATAAGAACCTTAAGTTTCACAAATGTCTTTTTATCTTGTTTATTTATGAAGCTATCTAATGACGCTTTAAAAGAGCCAGAAGCCAGTATGCTGATATGAAGAAATTTAATATAAAATACTTTTTAATCTCCCAAAAAAAGCATATAAATGACTTAAGAATCCTATATAACAAAAATGGCAAAAAAAGAGGCTCTTTGCTGATCATAAGGTGCTGCAATAAATCACTAAGGAACATTTCATTTTAAGAGTGTAAGAAAACGCAGACTACATTACAGTATATGATTAAGTAGCAGCGGCACCTGTGAGCACATCAGGTGCACATCAGTTTTTAAATCGAGAAATATTTTGTTCTCATATTAAATCAACACCTAATTCATTCAGTATTTAAGTGATTAATTTAGTAATACTTCATAGACTATGTTGGTTCAGACCAAATTAATCAGAGCAGCCTTAGCTGATTTAAAAATCATTGATATAATCTAAAACAGTGTTTCCTATGAATTTGGCTTAATCAGCAAACCATAAATGTGTTTCTTTTGAAATCATATTACACTGGATATCATTTAGCATTAAATGTATTGTTAGTCACTTAAAAACAATAATGCAGGTGTAAGATAAACTCACCAAGTAGTGTACTTTATGCACACATTACATACTATTTTGTTTTATACCTAAATCTTTCCAGGTAATCCCTGAAACCTTTTAAGTGCCTCTGGTGTCCGTGCACCTCTAGTAGGGAATCACTGATCTAAGTTACTTAAGAGGCTAATTATTTTAGGCTTCAACATGCTGATCATTCACAGAAAGTGAAAACATAACAATAAAGAGAAGAGCAGTAAAAAGCATGTCTCGCCGACTGTGTCATCTGTAATCACACATTTAAAAATACCCCTTTTAAGTAAAAATAAAAAAAATGATGACTTTTGCATAAACCTACAGTAGCACTTTGTGTGTGATCTCGTGTCTGAAAGCATTATAGTTATTGGTTCATCGTCAGACGTTTAGGACTAAATCAAGATGTATTACCTCAGGCCACACAATGATCATTTTCCATTATTGATCATAAACTTTCATGCTTTATGTATGTGATCACTGTGCACCTGCAAAATCAAAGTCCATGAACATCCAGACAAAAATTGTAACTGTGCATATGTGTGTGTGTGTGTGTGTGTGAGAGAGTAATAAATGTTTTCACAGTTTTTTTTTCAGTCTGTTTCTAAAGCTATTCCTTGCCCATTGGTTACACCTGTTCACTCTAATTAGCACTGCTTGATGCCCATGTTGCCAAGGTAGGATGAATCACGGGTCTTCAGTGCCACCTACCCTCCCTCCCCACACACAGAGAGAGAAAAGGAAACATAATCAAACACTCACTGTAGAGTTTATTTTCTGTCATGGCCCAAAAGTAGTCATTTATCGTCAGCCCAGTTTGGAAGTGACTAAACCGAGAATGTGGCGATGGAGAACTGATGGTAACAAAGTTGGTAAGATTGTGGCCCCATGCCAATCATTCTCTGCCTAAAATACAGCAGTAATGAGATGGGTCATAAAATGCTCCTCGCTTCCATTATGAGTGATGAGATGCATTAAAGCTGACAGGGTATTACCTGCCAGTAATTAGGTTTTGTCATGGATTGAATTATTTCAAAGCGGGCTATCTTGGCAATCATGCAATTTTCGGGGGAGATGCTTTAAACTGAGTGAAAAGGAGCGGGAGAGAGAGAGGGTAGGGGACGCTGTAACCCCTTCTTCTTTCTCTATCCTCCCGCCACCACTTCATCTGGCGCATTATCACGTCAATTATTCACCGAAGATATCTGAATTATTGGGGGTGATGAGCTAGAGAGTGCCATCATCAGACTGTGCCGCGAGGTGAACTCAGCCGCCCGTCACGTTGCGTGACGCTCGCGCGAATCAGTCCAGCATGCAGCCCGCGTGGCGGGAAGCGCGCGCAGTCTTAGCGAACGGACGTCGTTAAAATGAAGAGCTGCTTATTATTTCGCCTCTCTCTCTCTCTCTCTCACTCTCTCTCTCTCTCTCTCTCACACACACACACACACACACACCCTCTTTCTCTCTCTCTCTTTCACACACAGACTTGCGATGTAACGTCAGCAAAGAGAGGGATAACCGACAGACGAGTCGACCACCCCAATTCATCCGAGCGAAAGGAATGCAGGTTCGTTGTTGTGGTAGAAATGAAAGCGGGAATTACCGGGCTTCACAAGGGGAGAAATCTTTTTTTTTGGAGAGGATTGGAGTAAAAAATATATTTCCTGGTACTCTTACCCTGGTTTAAGCCTCCTTTGAGCATCTCCAGCGACCATTCATTTCAGGGAAGCTTCAACTTAATCCCAGTTTTAAACAGCTGCTAGTAACGTACAGAGAATCTAATGCTCTCTGGCACCCACCACAGTCAATCACATTGTAACAACCGACTCTAACTCTTCCCTTCCTTATTTAGGAGAGAAAACGTCAAAGTAGTTGGCAATTATCCCAAGATCCTTTATCCTAACAACCTTAATTAGAACAAAAGATCATCACCAATTAGTTCCGGTTTAGGGTCAAATTAAAACACTGCACGAACAATCGTTTCCAAGCTTCTTAATGAGGCTGCAGATCAGAATATGTTTGAGGAGGGAAAAAAATCTGATTGAAAGATACTGTACCGAGGAAAAGTTGCCGATTAAGACGAGATGGTAGCTCAAATATAGCCGGTTCCCTTGTCAAGTTCCAGGCGAGCGGGTTAAAAACGCGCAGCCCGCCTCGGTGCAACTCCTCCTCGCTCCTGCTCTAAAAAGATTCCCCTCCTTCTCCCCACGACGGCTGTTTCTTCGTTCGTGGTCTCGTTCCCTCCCTGGCAGCAAAGCAAAACAGACCTGAGCCAGCCCCCACGTCTCCTCGCCTATTTAAGCACCTTCACCAGGTCCCTAGTTAGCAGCACACTCCAGCTCTTCCAAGAAGCTGACAAGCACCGTTAGGGAAGGCAGCGCATGTTGCTCTAATGGACCTCATTAAGTTCTACTTACAGATGTTCTCTTAACATAATTGATCTGCAGCGAGTTGAGAGGACGGCAACCTATTCCCTAGCCCCCAATTATGGCCCAGTAATTAGATCCCCAACCTCCAGTTCTCCACATTCACCCTTCTAACATTCCGAAATATCAAAGTATCTCTTTCTCTCAAAGCAAACCCTCCTGCCTCCCCCACCACCTAACCTTCGTGTCTCCACCTCCTTTGCTCCCTCCCCTCCCTAAGACTCCATTCCTCTGACAGTATTGACAGTCAGATCTGCTAACCTTTGTAGTGAAGCCAGACTTAGCAGTGCACTCACTCCAATTGACAGAGCTCAGTCTAGCTTTTTCCCTTTTCTCTCCCTGCTGAAATACCCAGGGAAAGAGTGAAGGATAGAGCGTGAGACACATATGGAGGGGGGAGATAGATGGATAAAAACAAGTTTGCACTTTTTGATAAAAGGTTGTAATGATAATATCTGTCAGGGGAGGATCTCTTTTTTTGCACAATGCCTTTTTATCTTTAATAATTCCTCTGATGGTGAACGTGAGTGCAGGAGGGAGAGGCAGGTGGTGGTGTGAACGGTGAGCAGAGATGGTGCAGCATTTATAATGCCATTGAGAGCCACTCCCTCCACCCGCTTAATTATCCACCGTGCTAAAACACAGAGCACTTTAGGGAAATGTGAATGTCACACTTACGCACTTAAAAGACAAGATGATTTCATCACACAGGGAGAATTAAGAGGAAGCCAGGGTGGGCGCGCTTGGTGCCAATCATTGGCGTAAATTTTTCTAGATCATGCACAGTTTGTGGTGTAAACGTGACGCGAACATGTAGGCAGCGGTGCTTTGCGAGAACACAAAACATGGCAATATGTGATAAGACTCAAGTCTTACAGATGTTTGATTAAAATTCAAACAGGTCCAGTCTGTAAATTTCCTTCCTTAACTTGCACTGTTTCAAGAGCCTATATGATGTATAAGCAAAGTGCCTTTTATTAGCATGACTGATTGAATGCATTTATTGCTTATAGGGAGTATTAATTGAGATTTCAGTCTTAAAG